GGGGGGTGCGGTGTTGGGCAAGTGGGGCAGCATCCTCCATGTGCCCTCATGCCCTCTCCTTCCCAGGGAGGACGACCTGCCACCCAAATGCTCCTCTGCTGCAAAGACATTCCATGCCGATGCATCCTCGTCGGAGAATGACACCCTCACCTCCTCCAACACCTACAACAGCCGCTACTGGAATGACCCCAAAGCCAACCACGCCACAGACTCCTTCACCCGCTTCAGCAACAGCAACGATGTCCACCAGCCTCCCTTCTCCCGCTCGGGGAGCATGAGCACCCGCCCCGTCTATGCCAATGGTGGCCACCCATCCCCGGCTCCCCCTAAGACGCTGGTGGTGACGGCCAGCACGGCACTGTCCCCTCAGGAGGTGATCCGGAGCAATGGCTCAGTCAGCAGGAAGCCACGGCTGCCGCACACCCGCTCCTACGCCATCAGCCAGGCCACGCTGGAGCGGATTGGGGCTGTCCCTGTCATGGTACCCGCCCAGAGCCGGGCTGGCTCCCTTGTGTAGGGCCATGCCAGCAGCCAAGAGCCGAGCAAGGGGCCTCTTGTACCCGGTGGGGCAAAGAGACCCTACTCCTTCCTGAAAGGCAGCGAGGCAGTGGGGACACACACACATGCCTCTGCCCCCTGCCCTCCCCTTCCAAGGCCACTGCTGGCTGGTGGGACAGCCCCGGCCATGCCGCATCCCCCCCTGGCTTTTTGGGTTCCTCCCGCCGGTGGACGCCGCAGATGTGCCAAGGCCAGGGGAGCAGGGAGGTTGGGATGCACTCCGGGCTGCTGGGCCCCAGCCGGGATGTGTGCCTGGCCCTGACCTCAGGGGGGACTTTTGCTTTTGTTTCCCATTGGTTTTGTTGAAGGTCGATTCCATCCATTTGGGTCTTTCAGGGAGGTTTGGGGAGATATATATATATTATTTTTTTTCCGTTGTGGTTGATGTTTTATTTCCAAGAGGACGACAGCCTGCATCGGGGCAGGGAGGGCCAAGCAGGGAGGGGTGCTGAGGCAGGGTATGCCTCAACATGCGGCCCCGCTGCTGGACGAGGGAGGGCAGTGCACCGGGGCTGGGTGTGAGGAGGCACGCGCCAGGCTGGAGGGGTGAGACGGAGGCACAGCCACCAGCCTGGCCAAGGGGATGGTTGGGCGAGGGCGTGAACCAGGGAGCATTTGTCTTTATTTGTTGCAGTTCTTCCCCCACCCCAACACGCACACAGACACACGTACAGACACACACAGGTCCTCCTCAGACCAGGTACTTTTTTCTGCACTAGCTTGGGGTGCCACCAGAGGCCTGTTCATGGCTGTGGAGGATGCAGCCATCTGAGCGTCTTTCCCCGAGATGCTCCATGCACGGCGAGGGTGCGTCGCCACTGCTGCTGCTGCTGTAGGGCTCGTGTCTTTTTTTTTTTTGGGTGTTGGTGGGGTTATTCAGGAGGCAGAGAGGGAGCAGGGTGGTGTGGCAGAGCAGCAGGCAAGTGGCTTCAAACCCCACAGCTTTGGTGTTTGCATGGTGGGTTTTCCTTATAGGGCTATCCAGGGCTGGCCAGCATGGCAGGGCACGTGTTGTGCTTGGGGCCCTCACACAGAGGCATCACAGTTTTCATTCTCACTCTCCCACACGCACAGACTTCCCAGACGCTGAGGTTGGCAGGATTCATTTCCAAATCTCTTTCCTTAGAAAGAGTGAAAGCAGGGGCTTAATGGAGGGGGTAACCTTGTGGAAGCCCACATGCTATCTCTCTGCCTCCCTTACTTCTGGCAATGTCCCGGGGCTGGGTACTGGTGGCATCTGCCAGTGGCTCTGCCATCTCCTCACAGCCAGGGAGGTGGTTATGGCTGGCACCTATCCTTTTTCTATTGCAACTAAATAGCCTTAATCAAAGCTAAGAGTCAAAACCGCTGAAGGAACCTGGTGCCATTTGGAGGACTGGACTGAGGGCTGGGACTTACCCTCCTAGAGAGCACTGGCTCAAAGGGGCCATGCTTGGATGGCTGTCTTGGCCCTCCTGCATAACACCAACCCTTGCACATGTAAAGGCAGTGGTCACCTCCAAAAGCACCAGAACCCTCCCAGGTCTGCTCTTGGAAAAGCAATGTGGGGAGTCACAGATGACTTTCCGTAGCTCTCACATTGGAGAAAGGGTCTGTTTAAGCCAACAGACTCTTCCTCATCCCCACTTTCCTTGTCCCAGCACGGCTTTACTTTCCCTAGCAGTGCACAAACCTTGGGCAGGGCCTTTTGCCTGAGCGGTACCTTTCAAATGCAAATATAGACTCTGAGGAGGAGGGGGGAGAGGTGAGGGCTGGGTTCCAACATGGACACACTGGCTTTTTGGGAGGTTGGGGGCTCCCAGGCAGCACTAGGTTTGAAGCTTGGCTGAGATTTTGTGCCTTCTTTGCTTAAAATAAAAAAGAAAAGAAAAGAAAAAGGAGAAAAAAAATCCAACCTCCCTTCCTTCCCCCTCCTACAACAAGTCCATCCAGAATGGGTGAAAACCCCCACGGTGGTGCAGGCAGGCGGTTGCTCTGTGTGTGTGTACAACACGTTTCACCAGAGCAGTCCTCTTTCCTGCCTGTCTGCTCACTTTGCTGCTGGGTGGTAGGATTGACAGGGGGAAGAAGAGTGGCTTTAGAAACCCTAATGTGGGAGGGGGAAAACAAAGAAAAGCCCAGGCATTCTCTCTGCTTTTGTAACAACCCCTGTGCAACATTTACAGGAACGCTGCCCTCAGCAGGTCCACTCTTCTACTGGGAAAGCTCTTCTGGTTCCTACCCTCCATGAGACTGTTTGCTCCTCTTTCTTTGTTCTTTCTAATTGTCTAAAATTCAATAAAACTTTATTCATATAAAAAAAGGACTTCTTACTGGCTGCTGCTGCTTTCCTCCCCCCCCAAATTCTGTAACTACAATGAATATGGCTGTTAATACTCATCCTTGATATGACTGGCAGTAAGCAGTGACCGTGCAACCAAGACCTGCATGTTATTAGGCCAGCCAGTTTGGTAGCGAACCCTGGTACTATAGCCTTGTTTTTCTCATTCATAATAGTCTGACACATTGCCCTTGAAGGTACAATTTCCCAGGCTTACAAGGTTTCTACTTCTCTAGACAAAGGTGAGTTATATTTTCTGTCGTTTGGCATGGGAGATCCTTTGCTGCTTTGAGCGATGTGGGAAAATGTTTTTTAAAATTGCCTAACTTTGCTCATGTGTTGGTTTTCCAATCTGAAACATGGCATGTTCAACCCATATCCCAAGTCTAAGGCAGTCACCAGGAAGGTCCTCACTGACTTTCTTGGGCGTCTGAATAAGTTTGATGGGGGAAACTGTCAGGAAGTTAACAAAAGTGCTGATCCCCATAGACAGAGCATGGGAAATTTCAGTGTCTGAGCATTCACGCTTCCAGGGTATAAGGGGACTGGGAAGCACACACTTAGTCCGTATCAACAGCTGCTAGCAGACGGTTATTATTAGTTAGGGCAACCTGATGTTTTGCCAAAGATTTTGCATTTTTCTCTCCGTGTTTCATTTTCCCTGTTTCTTCTCTAAAATTCCCCAGATATTCTGAGAATGATTATTAAACCCAGAAACCTACAGATCCAACAGCAGTGGTTATTCAGCCCTGCTGCACATGCATCGTGTTCTCATTCCATGGTATTTTTCAACACCTAGTTTAAAATACTCCTGTAAATGTGTTTTCAGCTATAGGCCTTACAGTAAATGAGATCACTGCATTGCCGTTTTTGGAAAGTTGCCGTAGGAATCTTAATGTTTGCATTTTTCATCTTTTGATTGTGCAACCTTGATGTGACATTAATAGCATCTTTGTATTTTATTCCCATGATAGCCCTGTGAGTATTCTGCTACAGTATCCATTCTTTGCCACTGGCTTGCCCCTTATGTCATTCTTCTGCATGTCTCTGTCTATTGATCTAGAGCAGAATTTCCTAAGATACAAGATAGCTTACTAGGTTTGTGCAGCACCTAGTATGCTGGAATTTTAGTCTGTAAATTGTACCTAGTGAGGCATTGCTGCAATACAAATATCTAGCCAAAAATAATACCAGTTAGAGGTTTTGATAGTGCTCCGGAGTCACTATTTATCATTAAAAAGCAAGCAAAGGTTCAAGCTATTATAGTTGTAAGTGGAAGTCACTACTGAAATGCTTGAGTTTGCTGACAGCCATCAACCCCAGCTGTATAGTAGGGATTGTCCACCGCAGTGGGTGCCACAGCTGTTACTTTAAATGTCAGTACCTATCAGTTATATCACCTTCCGCCAAAGAATAGCAGAAGGAAACTTGTTCTAGCACAAGGATTAACTGTACATTTGAGTGCTGAGGCAGAGAAATAACCATGAGAGGATGCTTTACACTTTAGAAGTGGACATCTTTTTAGAGGTTGGTGTAGATGAGAGCTCAATTTAAAACATTTGGAAAATCTGGTCTGTAGACTGCCAGAAGTTTTTTTTAACTTACACAGCTTTTGGACTTGGATCTGCTGATTCATCTGAACTAAAAAAACTAAAATTACCCAGATGCATTCATTTCAACAAACTCTTGACAGAACACAGATGAGTTTCCAGCGGAAGTCAGTCTACCAGATGGTGTCCTGTCCAAGACTGCCTGGCTTCCTCATGAGGACCTGGGATGCTCAGGAGATCAATCCTCCTTATGTCATGGTTTAGGTCCTCATGAAGGGTACCTCAAATTGGGGTAGCCTCAGATGACACCCAGGACCGAGGTAACCGGGTGATTGATTTGGTACTGGGCAGAGGAAATCAAACTGAATTTTTTTTACACACACACCCCCCAAAGGAAAGATATTGGGGGAATTTTCATGATAAATTTCTGGTTTCATCAAACACATTGGTAGGTTTTTGCAGGTTACTGGATTTCTCCTGGAAGCAACATTTTGCATCCCAGCTTCATCTACTTTAGGCACGTAAACACCTTTCTGTGTCTGCACTCTAATTGGGATCTTCTGAGCCACAGCGCTGCTGGTTTGTGAGCAAGTGGATGAGTCTTTGCATATGTGTACCAACACCAAGTGCACCCAGAATGTTTCAGCAGATTCTGTTAAGAGGGTCTTGAACATTTCTAAGACAGGGCAGGGAAAACTGAGGAAGCAGACCCCCTTCACATGTTGACTTCAGGGCAAACCCAACAAGCCCTCCTATTAACTCATACGGCCTCTGTTAAAGGGAAGCCTGGAGCAGAGCTGTTGTGGGGTATCTTGATGACTGAGTTGCCCTTCTCCCTGTGCTTTTCCGAGTGCTGCTGGCCATCCTGCCTGCAGCTTGCTGTCCTGATGCCAGCTGAGCAGGGGTTCCCCCACCATGCCCTTGTTACAGCTCTGCTCTTGCAAGTAAGGCAAGATGTGCTGATGAGGATCGGGAATATGGGTGTTGAGAAAGGGAAATCAGTGTCACTCAGCTATGTCTCTCCTCAGGTGGGGAGAGACAAAGGGACAAAGGAAGCCTTGAAAACAGGGAGAATGAAAAGCTATGGCTCATTTTTCAGCCTGCTTTCTTCAATGTCTGCCTCTGTGCGTTGCAAGTGCTGGGAGGATGTTGCTGAGAATTACCAGCTCTGTGATCTCCTAAGCAAGGGGGGGCACACGCAAGACATTTCCTGAGCCTGGCACTAGCCCAGAGCTCTTGTTGCCAGTTGGTGGGAAGCACAGAGAAAGGTTTTGTTAGGTCACCTACACTTTTCCTTTCCCTGTGGTCGAGGCTCCCTTGCTTTAGAGAGCACTGTTGATGTGTAGGAATGGGGCAGCGCGCATGGCTAAGGATCAGACTCTTGCTAAGCCTTCTAATGCCATTTTCTGCTGGTTGTTTGTTCCTGATTTCCTCCTTCCCCCCACTTCCTCTGTAACATGTTTGAATGAGAAAGTGGGTTGGCAGGAAATTTAATCTATCCGTGTAAAAAAAAAACAAAACCAAAAAACAAACCCCCGAAATAAG